TCTATGATTCTATAATTTAAAAAGTACTGAGGTATTGTCTAATCGATAACACTCAATCCAAGCTGCATTTCCAGAACTAATTCATGCATTGATTTTCCCATTGATTTGCAGTAAGTGCAGGTAGGTTCCCAGCTAGATTAGCAAAGGTATTTAGATATTAGACTGGAGTCATTTTAGTAGTCTTAGTCACTTTAGTACTTAAATCCACTTGATTTATAGTTCCAATTAGGTCTCTATGCATGATGTTGTGATTCCAAAAAGTCTCTTGATACTTTTTTGGTAGTTCAGTGAACATATTTAAAGATCTGTTTTTATATGCCTCCAGTTGCTTTGAAAACGAGGTATATTCTCCAAATCATTTGAGCTGTGGAAAGATTTAAAACCTGGGCCTAAACACCCAGGCAGGTACCCTGTGTCAGGCTAACTAGGGTTTCTTTCTGCCTGGGAGTTAAGGTTCATGGCTTTGTGTTTCAGTGAAGTTTCTAAATATTTTTACAGCTTATCACCAGCCTGTTAAAGGATTCACAGATTCTGAGCTACCAAAGACACGGGCAGGCTATAGATGAAGTGACCAGCTGTATCATTGACAGCACATTTGGGAAACATTAACCAAAAGTAAAAGCCTTTTATAAGAAGGCCATAAAATGGCAGGAGTAATTATGATTTCCAAAGTTAATCATTGACTTTTGTTTATTTGGCTTTTTATAAAAAACTTTTTCCTTTCTCTCCTACAATGGATAAAACCTATAAAAGGCCTGGGAAATTGGATTCAGCCTCTTTTTGTCATGCCAGCCATGCTTGAAGGCTGATGAGACAGAGCCTGACAGAGAAGCTTACCTGAGGAAACCTACTTCATTGGAAGGTTCTCAGCCCAGACAAGAATATGTTGGTCCACCTCTGCCTTCTGTGTGGTCTGAGTGCTGTCGTGACCTCCCAGGATGTCACACAACAAGCAGAAATGTTTCTGAATGAGTTTAACAGTAGGGTAGAAAACATCAGCTATGAGACCTCCCTTGCCTCATGGAACTACAACACCAACATCACCGAGGAGACTGCCAATAAAATGGTGAGTGCTCTCTCCTGCGTGTTTTACTGTTGTTTTAGGAATCTGAGCAGCTACTTTCCTGTTTATTTTGGTTCCATAAAGGTTGGCTGAAATTGGAGTGCTACTTCTTTGGTAGTTGTGGTTTAGTTTCAGGAGGATAGAGGGGCTTGCTTTAATGTAGCAATGCCTTGCTGGAGGTGCCTGGGCTACTACCAGCCTCTACAGCTTAGGTTTGGTGTCTGGGCTGCCCTCACACTGCATGGGGATGGCTGGAGGCTGGACTTGTCCCTAGCCATCACCTCAAGTCACTCTTGAGCGGAGGGAAAAGGTGAGGGGGTGCTGCATTTTCAGCCCCAAAACCTCAGCTGTATGGAGAGAGATGCCTTCTTCAGCTCGGGGTCCACCACCATCAGTGCTGTCTGCAATGGCATTGCTGTGCAAGGCCCCTTTCCTCTTGGAGACTACACAGCCCAGAGGGGATGGTCTTCTCCCAGGGCCCCGGTCAGGTGCTGACCTGCGGCACAAGGGAATGGGATTCGAGTCTTGCACCCATGTGAGCTCAGGTCTCCCACTTTTTGTAAGACTGAGCTGACACTGGGCTTTTTACTGTCACGGACAACGCACTCTCTATTGCTGAAATTGTTTTACTTCTCACTGTATATGCAAACATTTTCTGAATGTAGGCATTCTATCAAATGTTTGTTGATGGTATTATATAGTGATACACAACCTTCACCCAGTGGGGGACCTTCCCTACTGCCCCCATCACTATTCTCATAGTCAGGGCTGTTTGTAGACTGTCTAGAGTTACTAAACTGGGAAAAATGAAGTGAGATCATGGATTTCCAAAAGCCAGCAGTGGAGTTCATAGCATAGTGATCTAGCACATTGGTTTGAAAGCCAATTTCTCTCTGCAGCAAGGACCACAGCATTTGTACTTACGCTACCTTGCAACACAGTTCTCCTTTCTTCTCAGCACCAACCTCTCTAGCTGTCCCAGCCAAAGGGGTCTCTAGGCAAGCATCGTGTTTATCAAGAGCAGTCAGCCATGCTATGGCTGGTTGCCTACCCTGCCATGCCTCAGCCTAGCATCTTGTAACCTTGGAGCCTTTCAAAATGAACAAAATCATCTTCAGTTTTGTAGCCATGTGCATTTTAAAGTTAACTCACGCTTTAGAGAAAAACAATTCAAAGCATAAAAATGAAGCTGAACATACACTCTACTTTGGTGTAATGTCCTCCACTTTGTGGCCATATAGCTTAATTAAAACATGGTTTAATTATCGTATTTCTTAATTAAAGCAAGGAGACTGGTTGCTGGAAGAAATCCTAATGACTAATCATTGTCAATCTGGAACGTTTTCTGAGGCATGATATACTTAAACTGTAACGTTTCCAAACACATAAAGGGAAAGTCCCATATAGTACTTTCAACATTAATGAGATGGTAATAAAATACATGAGGAGATACCAGCAGTAAGAACCAATTAGTCCAGTGCTCAGAGAGAACCTTTTCTCTTGCTCGATCTCTTCAGTAGCCATGATAATAAACCCACTGCTTCCCCTCCTCCTTTTCTGCTGGAGGAGCAGAGTTAATGAATATTGTCCCTTCTGGCTCCCTCCCATCCATTTGCCTTGTAAATTGGGCCACAAACCCGAGAACTGTCCCTCTGACTTATCAACCTGTTCCTCTAATTGGGGAAAAATCAGACAGCAAGCTAACCTCTTTCCCCCTGGCTTTTGTAGCTGAAGAGCCCCCTCTTCTGCCCCGCTGCTCCTAAGGCACCTCTCCGTCCCTGCTCAGGACACAGAGTGCAGAGACAGATTTATGCAGTGATGCTCTTCCCCTGGGTGCTTATCAAGCTCTAGCGCCCTGAACTTTGCAAGCCACGGTTTGCTCTGCTCCTGGGAAGGCGGAGATGTTGGGGAACCCCTTGGGAACGGCTGCCGTCCCACAGAGGGGCTGCAGGAGCAGGGAGAGATGCGGGGTGGGACTGCCAAGGGCTTACGTCTGCATTGCCTCGCTGCCAGACCCTAAAGCAGGTACCGTGGGTCCGCCACAGACGGGGATGGACAACCCGGGCACAGCCCTGCTGAAAGCACCGGCCTCACTGTGTGTTTGCACAGGCGTGAAGTGTGGCTGAAAGAGCTCTTCCATGACATTTGTGTTCCCTTATGCCTCAGCAGGGAGGGATGGGTGTTACAGGTGCTCTCTCCCCAAAGCGTGAAGCTCTGGCATGAGTGCAATTAATTAAACTATCCCAAGGACACGGTTAATTATTACTGTTCTTGCTACCATTTTGGACAGGTGCCAATGTGCTAAACTATGTACAAACACATTAAAAAAGGTGAATAGGAATATGACAGTTCCAACTCCAAATAATGTACTTACAGTGCCACTTGGTGCACCGAAATTTGGGAGTTTCAAGTGTCGAGGTAGGTAATTGCAGCAGTGGTAAAAGCAATCCCATGCAAAACACTCAGGTTTTGCATGTCCAGTTTAGGCACCGTTTTAGAGACTCCTATGCCCAAGTATAATCTTTTATTTACCAAAACTTCAGGAGAAAGTGATATTTACATAAAGAAAAGACTCTATCAATATCTTGGCTGCTGTCTGCCCCTGCTGCTGAAGCAGAAACAGGGAATGACATCTGGGTAACAGCCCTCCTGTGCGTTGGCTTATATCCGGGTTTTGTTAGACACAGGTGGGTCGAGAAAAGCACTAAGGGAAGAATACCTGGTGATTTAGAGTAGCAGGGAACACAGCCGGGCCATGCTGGATCAGTCATGACAAGCATAGTGGGAGGAGACAGTCCTCCTTTCTGCTATGTCCAAAGAAAAATGCTCATCTGGATGTGTGAATAAACTGAAGCCAAAGAGTTCTCCAGCTGTTTTGCTGCACTCAACCCACAATCCATGGGTGGTCTCCACAAAATAAGTTCTCCCCAGAAATAGTATTTTTTTCCCATTAAGTACATCAGGCTGCTGCATGTGTTCAGAGGAGTAATCCATGGTTTGTGTGCACCCCTTTCAGAATGAGGCAGATGCCAAGTGGTCCGCGTTTTACAGCGAGGCCTCTATGAATGCGAGCAAATTCCCATTAACCAGCATCCAGGATGCTCTCATCAGGCTCCAGATCCAGACTCTTCAGGACAGAGGATCGTCCGTGCTGTCACCAGAAAAATATAGCAGAGTAAGTTGCTGAACGTAGCTCGGTTTTTGCCAGGTGAGTTGAGCTGCCTCCCAAAAAACGCCTGAGGGAGGGCACGGTGCTCATCTCGGGAAGATGCCATATCCCATCGTGGGTATGGAGGGTGTACCTGTACGAGGTGGTCACAGCAGTCTGGGAATGGAGGGGGTGTCAGGCTTCTGAAGCTGGTTCCCATTCAAGTCAGCAGTTTTGACATGTAATCCGTGCAATGAAGTTCAAATGCACACACACCTCAGAGTTGTCCTTGCACAGATGGCCAGGTTAGTCATAAGAGGAAAAGAGGACCTGTGCTAAGGGGTAGTCTAAGTCCAGACCTAGGGCAATGAGCAGAAAGGGATGGGTGAAAGGGCATTCATTGAGTCAAAAAGGTGGAGGTGAAGGAATTCTGTCTTGCTCTGCACACGATGAATTGTCAGACTGTGAAAAAGGGGGGAAGTTTCTATGAAGCCGTTCGATGCCTAAAATGGAGGTGGGTTGGTGACCTCCTTCCACAGAAAGCTGCTGAAAGCCAGCAAGATTTAGCAAGATTCATAATGAGATTTGACATTTCCATTGACATGTAAAAGGCATGTATACGGATAATGAGTATATGGGAATTGGAGTGAGCAGCTAGGCAGACTCGAAAGGGATTTATAACCAAACACTTGAGGAATAAATTTGTTTCCTGTTGCTAGAGATCAAATTGAAACATGGCATTGAGTTAGGGGATCCTACAGTCCTAACTATAGAAGCATCTGGCGATTTTTCTGCTAAGGTCAGCAGTGTTAACCACCATGAAAGAAAAGCAGCGGGCTGGCTGGATTTCCTGTCTGGCCCAAATGAGCTGTGTTTCTGGAAAGACAGATTACCTTGGTGGGAGTGCTGACAGTTCATACAAACACATATTCATTGTGGAGCACAGCAATGTGCTGATGGTGATGCTGTCTCTGCTGAGGAGGTAGTTTCTTCAGTATCCTCCCCATTCAGACACTTGCAGTTTCTTAAATAAATGGCCTTTGGGGCTGAAACTGTTGATTCTTGCTTGAAAAGTTGCTTTCTCTACAGTCTGATTGGGTTCCATAAGAATATTTAAATATTCTTCACTGATAAAAATTCCCCCGGGTGCCCACTTATTTTAACGCTGACAGAGATGAAGTTGGAGCTAGTCATTAACTACCCCTCCCACTGACAACTCTACATAGTTCTGTTTTAAAGCTTTAAAGGAGAAATAACTTAGTCCTAAAGGAAAAGGTAAAAGTGGTACATGTTTTTCTTGAGGTATGAAAACCTGAAAAAGTTTAAAAATATAAAACCAGAGCTATGTAGTATAGCTTCTGAGGTAGAGCTGAATGATTTCGGGTGCATTTGGCCTTCAGCTGGACCAAAACATGAGCCGTAACTTCTCTGTAATGGAGTGTAAGCAGCAGATCTATGCAATCAGTGTGACGCGATATTAAAAACCACAAGCAATGGTTGGGCTGGCAGCATCTGCACAGGGGTCCTTTTTGCTGCCACTCAAGCGCATGACCTGCCTGTAAAGTTTAGGTGGGTCCACGCTTACGGAAGCACATTGCTAAACTTTATTGTTTTATTGCTGCTATATATTGATAGCTCTTTCGTGACAATCTGTGCTCATTAAATCCAGAGCTGTGCCTGACAGGATATTAAGGACCTGTTGATTACATCATATATTTGGGACATTGTCTGTTCTTTTGCAGCTAGGTCCTCGTTCAGTAATGTATTTAGGCAAATTCTTCCATTAATCTCTACTGAGTTTAAGCATATGCTTAAATGTTAAGCTGGTGGGTGAAGTGTTGAATTGAGCTCTTAAGGTATTAGCATAACTGCCTGTTATTTTGCACAGAGTGTGTTTCTAACGGGCTGTCTCACATCTGACTTGCAGCTGAGCACTGTGCTAAATACAATGAGTACCATCTACAGCACCGGGACTGTCTGTAAAACCACTGAACCGTCTGAGTGTTTGGTGCTGGAGCCAGGTATGGTACTGAACACCACCCCTACTGTCTTTTACACTGAGGATTCAAAAAGAAAAAAGCCCAAGGGTGGCTCCTGACCACAAGAGAACAGGCTGTAGTTTCAATAGATATATCCTGACATGTAAAGCTTAGTCATAATTCCATTGCACCTAGCAGTTCAGGGACCTACAGCAGGCCAGAAGACATACTGCCTCTTACTTGTAGTAAACAAATTTGGAGAGGGCTGCTCAGTTAATGTTACAGCCTGCATGTCACTCAGGGTTTCCATACATGACAAAAAGTCTATTTTTTCCCCCTGTCATCGGAGTCTTATTAGACTCAATGGTGCGTTGAGGCCAGTCCCAAGAACGCTACCAACTTAAGGGAAACTAATGCAGAGAGAGGATTTAAGGGATTCCTGGTCTGCTCTGTGTCTCTTAAACAGAAGAAAGGGAAAACCTTAAATCAGAAAACAATGCAATAAGATAATGGAATATTTCAGTATATTGAACACAAAGTGTTTTCATACATGAAATTTCTTTTGCTTTGGCTGATTTGCCTGCTGTGAAAGAAAAATAAAGCTTTTTCAAGGCGTAGTATTCTTTTTTTTTTGTTTTGTTCTGACAGGTCTGGACATTATTATGGCTAACAGCATTGATTATGATGAGAGACTGTGGGCCTGGGAAGGCTGGAGAGCTGAAGTTGGCAGGATGATGAGACCATTATACGAAGAGTATGTTGAACTTAAAAATGAGGTTGCAAAGCTTAATAGTAAGTCACAATTTCTATTCTTTTTTTGTGTCCTCCAGAAATGAACAAACATACCGCAGCCTTGCGCAATTTGCACAAGGGTTCAAAATCCATAATTTTTTACACATTGATGAGCAGCACTTTGCACGTAATTTGGTCTTGGTGCGCACGTCGCAAAGTGAGAGGGGGTAAAGACAAGTGCCAATGACCAGACCAGAGGTACATAACCAGCCTGGAACAAAAGGGGGATGTCTTTGTTGGCACCTTCCCCAAAAGCCATCACGTATCAGCGCCCTTCATTACATACTGCCTTACCCAGAACTGCACTGCTTGTGACTTATGGGTGAACGTGCTCAATTTAAACAACTTCTGAGTGCTGCCGAGTCTTGGTGACATCAACTCTTCTCTACTGGCCTTGACCTTCTTGCAGCAGCCACAAGCAGTGGTACATTTATAAGCATTATGCCCTAACTGTAAGGATTAGATTTGGTAGGCTTGGACCAGCAGATGCAGGCTTATGCTTAGAAAGGATATTGCACTAAGGGAAGTGTGCTTCCAGTCAGACATCTCCACGCAAACCATAGGGAATTGTCTTTTCAAGGAACAATGGCAGGTGGATGATAATTTTCTTTAGGGGACTTCTAAAATAGTTTCTGAAGTAGCTACATCGTCTGTCTCTTGACCAAACTGCAGCTGTATCACCTACTTTCCTATACTCCTTGTTTTGTGAAAATTGTCATGTTGGAGCTAGACACCAGGAATAAGAAATAGTAGTCCAAATAGACAGGAAAGAAATGAAACATTAAGAAATGGCCATTATGACCTTCCTCCATACCAATAAGGAAGAGATTTCAGCTGTGAGCCCTTTCTACTCTGGGCTAGATGGAACCCAATGGACTGGAAGGCTTAGTGGAACTGGGAGCTGAATTTCAGTCCTGGTGTCAACACCTGCCCTGGTGGTTTCATTGCTGGAGGAAGGGGCCCATATTCAACGTCCACTAGAACAGACCTTCTGCAAGAACCTCTTAGCATCCAGCCTGAGCCTAGGCTGCCCTCCCTCACACCTGCAGGAGCTCCAGTCAGGAGTGCCATTTTCCTTTGACCTTGATCTCCAGCTGTACCAACCCTAATTAACAGATAAATGTGACAGCAATTTCTGCATTTCTTGGAAATCTCCCGTACCTGCATCCCTGTGGGAGAGAGCCTTGTGGGAGTGCTCTCCTCCCCCCTAGGCCCAGAGTATCTCACACTTTGTCACTTTGCTTCAGGGAAAGACTGTGGGTCTGAACGGGGTCAACAGGGAGCTGCAGTGCTCCTGCAGACCTGAACAGTGCCATGTGCAGTGTCCTGATAGGATGTGTCCATACTTACAGATTATTCTGACTACGGAGATTACTGGAGAGCAAATTATGAAGCAGACTATCCAGAAGAATACAAATACAGCCGTGACCAGCTAATCGAAGATGTGGAGAAGACATTTGAGCAGGTAGAGGCAGGAAAAATCTCTCACCTGGGCCCCAGGGCTTTGTTTCATGATGGTGGGCTGACATGTCAGTGCTGTGAAGGAAGATGACACCTTCTCTAAACTGGCTGATCTAAGTCTACATGAGGTTAACAGACACTGGGGGACACACATGACATTTTACCATTCAAGGACCACTTGGTCCCCTTAGGCTGCACTAGACTGGGAAAGACAGAACTCCACAGATCCATTTTTCTCCTCCAGGTAGAGCTCATGGGGGGAGGTATGTTTCCTGTGGGGTAGATGGCATACTTGATACTCCATGTCTAAAGTTAATCTCCCTCGTACCTGAGCAGGACTTCTGGGACTAGGATGTAGACTCAGTGCTTGAACTCCAAGGCAGTGAGCACAGCTCATCTGCAGGTTTTGGGTGCACTTATCTGCCAGGAGAATCTCATTAGACACACCTTTGAGGGTCTCTGTTTAGGACGGGTAAGTGAAGTAGGGCAAAGAGAAAATAATTTTTTTCTATCTCCTCCTTTGTTTCCAGATAAAACCTTTGTACCAGCAGCTGCATGCCTACGTGAGGCACCGGCTAGAGCAAGTCTACGGCCCTGAGCTCATCAGCTCCACAGGATGCCTCCCTGCTCATTTGCTGGGTATGTCAACAGTGGCCATGTCATGCAAGCCTGACTTTGTACACAGGACAGTCGCCTTTGAGGTGCATGGGAACAGAGCAATCTGTCTGTTTAATCAGGATATTAACAAATAGATTATAGATAAGAAAATGGGAGAGGAGAAATGAAGAAGTCATCCCTAGCAAAGATGACACTGGTGCATAGCAGCAGAGGCAGGTAGGGAAGGCAGATGTCCACATCCTCGTCAGAGCTGGTGACACCTAGCTCAGAACTCCAGCACTGGGCTGGGACATTTCTCTCCCTGCTGCAGCACTTGTCTTCCTTAAAGAGTGAGAGTTTTAGAGAGAGATCTTTTTTTCTTTTAAATCTTGTCCTAAGCTCCCACATTTTATGACTTTTCTTTCAAAGTATGCAACATCAAGCTGCCATAAGCGTAATAGACATGAACACGTCAGTGCCAATCACGTGGCTAACAATATCAGCATTCGGTTCTGAATAGACCTTCAGGAAAGTAACCAGTCCTGAAAATGTATTGTACAACCATAAGTGATCTGGGTGAATTAAAGGATCATTGACCTGGGTTTGAACTATGCATGACTTCCCATGCTCCCCTTCACATCTGTATGAGGCCTGTCTGGGTGTCTCTATGACACTGCACAATTTATAGGATTGCCTGGCAATTTTGAACAATAAACAGTCAATAATTTTAAGTATTTCTATCTTTCTTATTTTTGAAGGCGATATGTGGGGTAGATTTTGGACAAATCTGTATGGTTTGGCTGTTCCCTATCCAGCCAAACCAAACATTGATGTAACTTCTGCAATGGTTCAAAAGGTAAGGCATGCCTTTATGCAATATGCATTATGTAACAAATCTAAATGGTACAAAAATTACACACCATGTGTCAGCCGCTCTCTAGAAAACTGTTGCTGCCCTAAGGCAGACACAGAGCCAGCAAAGCACTGCTTTCTGCATTCTTTTCTGCTCTTCACCTTAATGTGTTCATGCATTTTCCACTGTACCTTTTCCCTTAGCTGTTTTCCTCTCTTTCTTCTCCACTCTCTTTGACTGGCTTAAATTCTGCTCCAGGTCTATTTTCTATCTATCCATTTCATCTATCCGTTAAGAGATATATTTTATACATATAAATATTTCGGGACTCATGGAGTTGGCTGGTGTCAAATACGACATTTGCCAGCCATTCCCATATTCAAATAGTTTGTCTGTCACAGGGTTTTTTTTTGCCAGTCTTGTTTATTTGGTGACAGCTAGGAAACTGCAATGCTGCCTGTTATCTTTTGATAACTGCATAGCACCAGTGTTTGTGTTTGAGAACTGAAGTGCTAACAGCCGTGACAGCATCTTTACCAGACCAAGAACGTGGGTGAAGATAACTCTGTGCATGCTTGCCTAAATTCACTCCTTTTATAAAATGAAAAGAGATTGGTGGAATTTGATTTTTTTAATGTGATGTATTCATCTGAAATCTGCCTTCCTGTCACAGGGAGGACTCTGTGCAAATGTTATGTGGGTAAGAGAAGGAATAGCTAAATTCAATTCATAAGCAGTTTGCACAAGTCTGCATCCATCTCACACCTATTTTACAGTAATGAACCCCTTGTAGTCTTACTGTATACTGAAGTACCACTGTGAGGAAGGAAGCATTCCTTACAGAGCCTCGAGGAAAAGGCTGTACTCATCCTTGTTGGTGGATGTTCCCAATTTAGGATTCCCATCCAACTGAGCTGTCTGCCACCAAACTCTCTCTGACAACTCAGTCCGGTCTGTGCAGAGCTCCTGCTATACAGAGTCGTAAAACTGCTGAATGATATTTGAAAATATTCTGAATATTAACACGCAGTTAATGTGATAACAGCTCCTCTAGATACATTTGCCAGATTTGATGGTTCTGGCCAAGATTGTCTCTCATGCTCAACTGCTAGGGGAGCAGTTCCACTTCCTGAAATACCTTGTCCCCAGCTGAAGTGGATGAAGGCTTGGATCCCCGATCATATATGCTACTGACAGGAATATCCTTTTTATCTTCTCTACTTTATCTTTTAATGTGGGCTTCTCTGGTCTGGGTCAGGTGCTGTCTGCTGAGCCTCTGAGTGCAGAAACCTATTTTGTTTGCAGGGAAAACATTTAATTCCAGTTCCCAGCAGAACTTACAGAAGTGCTGGAGGCAGACACAACCATCTTGCCCTCAATAGAAGTCAGGCGCTGACTTGAACTTGCTGGGAGATAAATAGGAAGTCAGCTGCCCTGCATTAAGCCAGCCATCGGGAACAGGCCCTGTGGAGAAGCAGTGGTCAACAGTGGCATTTTCTCTTTCAGAAATGGGATGCAATAAGAATTTTCAAAGCTGCTGAGGCCTTCTTCACCTCCATTGGCCTTCCTGAAATGACCAAGGACTTCTGGGAAAAATCCATGCTCACAGAGCCAACTGACAACAGAAAAGTTGTTTGCCATCCTACAGCATGGGATCTGGGGAATAAAGACTACAGGTACTGCAATTATTATGACCCCTCTTTATACCATCTCTTAGAACATTTGTATTTTCACTGAAGGAGCACCAGGCTGGTTTAAGTTAAAAATTTTCATTATTTATTATTTTTTTCTGATTGATAAGAGGGGAAAGGAAGATGAGAGCTGGGATCCTGTGGGACTGTAAACCTTTCTGTGTAACTGTTTCTGTAAAAACCTAAGGACTACTCTCAAATCTAAGAAGATAAGTGACTATTACTTATATGAATTAGAGAAATAACTATGTTTTAGGGCTTAAGGAATGAGCACAAATGTGGGTGCTTGTGGATACCAGCAGGATTTGTGAACACGTGCACATTCTGCAGCAAAGGCACAGGATACCTAGGAGTAGCAAGTGAAAACCTCCTGAGACCCCACTGGCTATCTTCAGCAGATATATCAGAAGTGGTAGGCAGAATTCCAGAGTTTCACAAAAATCCATCAATCCCTTCCATACCTGGGAGAGGACCAGGACAGTAAATTCCCACACAATGAAGTCTTCTGGGGCAAACTGTCCCTTCTTGCAGTCCCTGCAGTTACCAAGAGAAAGAGGCTGGTCTCCAGAAAAGCCTGGCTGAAACCCACCTGCCTCACAAATCAGCAGTCTGGGGAAGGTGAAGGAAACCCTCTCTGGAAGAAATTCCTTTATTAAACAGTACCTACATGAGATGAAGTAGCAGGAGTTGCTGACACACAGGGTTTTTTCTACTACTATCTGCTTATGTTTCACGGTGGGTACTCACCCTAATGCACGCAGTTCATCGCCAAGATTCAGAGAGCAGCTGCTTCTCATGAAACGGCAATTTTGCCTTGCTCCCTGCACAATTTCAAGGTGGCTGAAAGCCTGTGCAGGAGAAACAGCACTCCATGCTAGGATGTGGCTGCTCGGGTTTTGTTCAGGGTGTTTGCAAGCTCTGGAGGCTGCTTTGCCCCACGGTTGAAGCAGGCAGGGCTCGGGCAGCAGCTGGCCAGGCCACCAAAAAAATTCTTTTCTCCGGTGCACAGGATCAAGATGTGCACCAAAGTGACCATGGACGACTTCCTGACTGCGCATCATGAGATGGGCCATATCGAGTATGACATGGCGTACTCTGAGAAAGCCTACCTGCTAAGAGGTGGCGCCAACGAGGGCTTCCACGAAGCAGTAGGTGAAATTATGTCACTTTCTGCAGCCACTCCTCAGCACCTGAAATCTCTGGACCTTCTAGAGCCAACTTTCCAAGAGGATGAAGGTAAATAAATACATAAATATGAAAGACATAAGTGAAAACACTTGCAGGCCTTATTTTACAGCAGAAGATTGTGTCTGTAAGCTGAGTGAGCAACTGGGAGGCTTCTGAAAATCCTACCCCACCAACTTACCAGAAATACTATTGTTTTCCCAAATCACATCATGAAGAGAGGAACACTATAGTGCTGCCACAGAATTTAGAAACAAAGAGCTAACACTTCATTACATTCAGTACTGAACAATTCACCCCAAAATCTTTGTAGTTCATTTGGATGAGCCTCTAACAGTCTTTTCAATTTCTGTTGCATGTATCTGTACATATCTCTACTAAGGTATCATAGAATGGTTTGGGTTGAAAGGCACTTTAAAGATCATCTTGTTCCAACTCCCCTGCCATGGGCAGGGACACCTTCCACTTGTCCAGGTTGATCAAAGCTTCGTGTGTGTGTATGTATGTATTTAGCAGTTCAAATGAAACTCAAGCCTTGAGATTTACATCTCCCGTTTAAGTAAATATTGAGTGGACAATGTAGGTAGGCCTTCATTACAATGCACTTTGTCTGGCTTCTCTGAGTATTACCTTATAAGGATGGAAATGTACCAAATCCTCAGCTCAAAATTCCCCAGACCCTGAGAAGGTATTCAGTGAAGGATAATGACATGTAAATGCCAAAGGGTTAAGTTATATAAGCATCAGGGAAAAGAAAGTAGGACAAAACTGTATACAATACTTACCTCATATTTTCTCGTGTGGTTTAGTTTGGGGTTTTTTGTTTGTTTTGTTTGTTTTGTTTTTTCAGTAGTATTCGTTCTTCCACTTTTTCCTTAGCGAAAATCTGGAATTCAAGCCAGATGTACGCATTAGCTGTAAAAGGAAGCAGCTTTAGCTGTATAATCAGATACTAATTGCTACTATAACCATTACCATAACTACATGTCTCTTCAGAAACTGAAATCAACTTTCTGCTCAAACAAGCATTAACGATTGTTGGAACTATGCCGTTTACTTACATGCTGGAGAAGTGGAGGTGGATGGTGTTTCGGGGTGAGATTACAAAACAGGAGTGGACCAAGCGGTGGTGGGAGATGAAGTAAGTTTCAGAAACAAGAAGGGTTTTTTGCACATGATCCTGCAAAACAAACCCATCTTTTTTCTAACCCATCCACTGGGATGCCTGTGCCCCACATAGTGCAGGATCTGTCTCTCCACAAAGCCCAGGAAAGTGCCAGGTAGAAACACCCAACGGGGTGCAGACAAGGTGTCACAAGCTGTGTATGCCCATTAGCACTGTGTTCAGCCCTGGGTAGTTTACCTAGCTCTCAGTAGACTTTCTCCTAATTTCTAAAATCAGCCCATGGCCTTTGCACAAGCTGTTCCAGATCCCAGGATACTGCCTCCCCAGCAATGCCTGCTCCAAGACACCTTCGTAGCTTAAGTACAGCTCTTCTCTAAGTCTCATTGGGCATATGCTCTGGTTTGCTCCCCACCTCCTTAAGGACATGTGGAAGGTGAAGGTCATCATACCTGCCAGCCTGAGAAGCATACAGACTTCACTCTACTAAATGTCTGAGCACACTTCTCCGCTTTGCATTTCCTCTCCACTGTAGGGTGGTTTTAGAGGCAATTTTTCTGAGACTGTAGACTGAGTCTTTCCTCTCTCATGTACTAGAATACCTCCTTTCTCAGTCATGAAAATACAGTTCCCTTAGCAAGTAGCATCCAGAGGTGCCTTTTCAGATTTCCCCTCCCACCCCCGCCCCTGGTCAATCTATTTGTGGCTCCCTGAGCTCAAGATTAAAAGCACTTTGATTCAGACTGAGTCTGTCATTTTCTAGGGTGGTTAACATGGGGCCAGAAAAATACAAAGAAACCCCACACTGAAAATGGAGTCTGCATTCTAACATGAACACAAACAGTGAGCCTCCATCAGCAAACAAAATCTATGAAAACTTGATATAACCAAGCTTCCTGACCTACAGTAAAAATCAGTCAGCTTTGATTTATTCAAAAGTGGCAGAGATGTCAGAGAAATGGAGAATGACAAATTTTTCAGGGAAGCTTATCACATCTGTTCTAGCGGGACTGCAAACCTCTCTGCTGGACCAAGACCTTGAAATGCAGGTTTACAGAAAATATTTCCATGTAAGCTTATTTATTTTCAGAAATTAGGGCATGGGTTTTTTTCCATAGTGCTGCTCAGGAAGCATGCTCTCAGGAGAGGAAAATAAAGAGAAACCTCCAGCCCAGTGGCACAGGAAGCCATACACCTTTTGGGTCACCCAATCTCTGCATACGCTTACCCAGGGATGGGCCAGAACATGAGGGATGTGTGAAGCTCATGTTCTGTGGATTATTTCACACCACTAATTACTCCCTGCTACCATAAAAATCCCTTCCTGGCACCATCAGTTTCAAAGCAGCTGCTCCTCTCTGGTCTCCAGCGGTGGAGCAGTCCTCCCTTGGGGTTACTGGGAGCTGCATGTACTTCTTGTGTTTGGAAGTGAAAGAAGTGCCTGTGTGTATCATCGGGTTCAGATTCTTTACTCTTATTATCTATTAATGGAAATCCTGTGTTTTTCCTTCATCCCCAGGAGAGAAATAGTTGGTGTTGTTGAACCTGTTCCTCATGATGAAACTTATTGCGACCCTGCGGTGTTGTTTCATGTGGCCAATGATTATTCATTCATAAGGTAGCTCTATCCTTGTTCAGTGTTTAATTCATGACTTACATTTCAGGTACAGAACAAGCCCCGACTACCAAAAAACACCTACTGGAGCATCTCAGGATGTACTCTCATTTTGTTTAAAGTCCTAACTGAAGGTCACTGATTTTAGTGGAAGTTTTTCTGTGGCCATCAGGGGCTGCTCCAGGGCAACCTCTGGGTAGCCAAGAGGCTGCAAACCTTCTTGCTGACCAGAGGACCTTTGTGCTGCCATCAACCGAGCGGGACCACATCTGTATGATGTGCTTGACTCTTGGGGAGACAACATGCCCTGCACTGCTGTCACTTGGGCCACGCACATGCATCCTCCTGAAGCAGCTAACTCTGGACATCCCTCCGTGTCCCAGCCACCTTATGTGAGGGGTCACACAGAGCAGAGGGTTGGGCCTTAAACACCCTTACTCACTCTGGGTTTATGTGTCAGCAAACAGATTTGGGGCTCTCCTGCTGTGTTTGATCTTGGCATTTTGTTAAATCCACATTAGCACCGCCTATAAATACCTGCTGGCTTCCCTCCCTGCAGAGCAGCCTCCAAGGCAGCAGCGCTGGCTGACACAGCAGAGATCTCCAGAGGCTGAGGCCTCCATGATTTTCTTGCCAGATGACTACCAATGCCTGTGCCTTCCTTCTCCTTGCTCTTTTTTTAGATATTACACCCGGACCATCTTTCAGTTCCAGTTTCAGGAGGCACTTTGCAAGGCAGCTAACCATACTGGCCCTCTTCACACATGTGACATTACCAACTCCACAGCAGCTGGTCAGAATTTGAGGTAACAAAGCAAATTTCTCACATGTAATAAGTAACAAAGCCTAATTCATCCTTGAAAGCTTCTGGAGTCGATGAGGTTGTACCAAGAATGAACATCGCCTGAAAATTTAACATATATCTACTCAGTTTATTTTGACAAGTTGACTAAATGTACATCAGCTGAGGATCTAAACATCAAAGGTTTAATTGTCTGTTCATAAAAAACATGATTTATTTTTATTAACAGGAACAATGGGAGAAAGGAGGGAGTTCAGAAGCAAAAAAGGAAACTTTGATACCGATAGCAGATTGTTTTGCTAGATGTCTAGATGAAACATGGCAATAACATGTTACCTCTCCTTCTACATACACAGACAATTGCTTGAATTAGGCAGATCCAAGCCCTGGACTCAAGCACTGGAAAGCGTAACAGGAGAGAAATACATGAACGCAGCACCCTTGCTCCACTACTTTGAACCTCTATATAAATGGCTGCAAAAAAACAATTCTGGCAGATACATTGGTTGGAAAACAGACTGGGCTCCATGTACGTATGGCTTGTGGGTGAATTAAGGACTCTTGTTAGTCTGCACAACCCTTGAGCAACAAAGCCGCTCTCTCTTGTAGCCTGTGAAGGCTCTTCTCCCTGTGGAAGCACAGTTATAGGAAATATACACCAAGCAGTAAGTTCTACCCATAGGAAGGCAGACTGGCTTCCTTATGGCCAAAGCTGGAGAAGTCACCACACATGGAGTTTGTCACAGCTTCACCCAGTTTTCAGAAATGGATTTGCTTTGCTTTTTTATGGTGGCTGTGCTAAGAGCCTGGGATGGCTGTGCGGAGGGAAGAGAGGCCAGAAGCTTGGACTTGCATGGCGTTTGCCTGAGAGCATCATGCCTGTTCTTCAGGGCTTGGAGCCACTGGTCCTGGGAGCCACAGGACCCTGAGCTGGGGGTATAGGGGCAAACCGGAACAGAAAAATCATTGCTGTTTTGTTTGCTGTCACGTGCTGGTTAAAGAAGGGAGCTTAAGGGGAGGAAAAAATAGTGGAAAAATGCATTTTTTTGTGGTGACACTGAGTGTTGACCGACTCACTCAGGTCATACATCAGTAATCACTGTCAGTACTGGACAGCACTCGAACTCTTAACAGGTCTGTGCCAGTCTCTAATGGTGGGATTCAACTATCCAGACACCAACATCTGCACGTGAGCTGCTCATTCTCTCCATTCCATGGCGGGAAAGAAACATTTCCTTAGGGAGATGTCTAAAGAAGACCAGACAGCTACACTTTAGATGTGTTTTTGCTTTCTATCTAGTACAAAGCCAGACGTGGGTGACTGACCACTCAGATGTAGATGTTTGCAGTAGATGTGGCTGCAGGAAAACAAGATCAACCCCAGCAAGCTGGCCAGGGGTAGTAGGGGAACCCATAAGGAAACTCTAGTCATCCCAGCATTTCCCAGGGACAGACTTTCTGTTGCTGAAGCTCTGACTCATCCCTTGTTTCATTTTAAACCAGATTTTAACGACGCCATCAAGGTGCGCATCAGCCTGAAATCGGCACTGGGCAACCAGGCGGTAAGTGTGTGTGCGCTGTGACGCTCTTTGTGTTGATCGAGAAACAGAGATGTTGTGCTAATGGCTCTCAGAAAGTACGGCAGGGTGTAGCTGATTTTTGTGTCTGAAGAGCGGCATCAGCTCAGGTGAAGGGTTATCACATAAAAGATGTCTTGTCTGAGCTTGTGGTCGAGACTCCCTCTACAATTACCTATCCAGGTAAGTCCTCCTATCCATTTAAAGAAAGACATCTCAGCTAGACGAATTGAGTTATTCTGTGGAGCTACTGGTCATGATTTACTTGCTACAGAACAGGCTTGGAGGGCAAGCACAGAGGCACGGTTGTACCTGAAAACAGCCATATTTTTTCCAGCTATGCTGATGTGTCTGAATAAAGCCTCTGCCCAGGTTTCTCCTAATTTCCATTATCATGGCTATGGTGGCTGCCTTCAGAAGTTGTTAGAATAGCTACTTCACCTTTAAATATGGGGCTAAATCAGAGGGGTTGAATCCCACTCTCAAATTCTCTTGGTTTCACACTGAAACACTGCTGACAGCATTCCTTTGTATATATGTGTTTGCTTGTTTGCTGTAAGCTTTTCAGGCCCTGATAATTCGGCTGCCTCCCTGCCCTGCAACCCTTATGCAGAGACAGCTTTGTTATTAAGACTGTGGGGGGCAGTGCAGCTGCTTCTGATTCAGACGAGGAGAAGGGCTTTCAGTCCCAAGAGCTTGTCTATTTTCCCTGATTATACCAGCTGGTCCAATAAAATGTATTACAGCGACTGAAAACGACTCATGAAAGCCAAAGACGGCTTTTAAGATTTTAAATGGAGCATTGGCTTAGCCCATCTGTTTAACCCAGATACCCGGCTGAAAATTTGTTCCTTATTCTACCCGTGCCTCTTTATGCTAATCTCACGGAGGCAGTGTAGAAGGCTCAAGTGCAGACACTTCATTCCTGTTAATAGCTGTTTTCACCTTGCAGAACATTAGTAATTTTCCAAGAACGAGTATGTCATCAGGTGGGTCATTTAGACCTGTGCGTTGGAGCCTTTTGGACGGGCAAGGACACAATGCTGGGGGATCATTTTTCATATGAATTGATGCTCTCGCTTCTATCACTGTCTCACATGCAAGCCCCACTGGAGTTTTATTGTTTCCTAGACTGCTGACTTGAGTTAGATACAATTAAGAACTGATATCAACAGCATGAAAAGGTTCCATATTACAACACATTTATTAGTCATTATGGTTAATGTTTAGCTTAATACCATTTTTATGCCTGCCTGTTGCCATCATAGTCTTTTGTTGTGCAATTGGGCAGCTGTAAAACAATCTCATACAGATTACTTCATTTGAATTATTGTATGGGCAGTAGGTTCCTAAGCTCTGAAGAGCAAGCCATGCATTTTCCTCTCAAAAACAGTTCACCTCACCAACTCACAAGAAACCTTTTCCATTCAATAGCTTTCTGTCTCTCCACAAATTTCCCTTATGCTGAGCTCCCAGGGACAGGACTGTGAATGCTGGTGTGCCAGCAGTGGGTAATGCTGTATGCATGAACTGGCACAGAGAAAAGGCAGGGGGAACCTTGGGCTGGCTGCACAGAGCGGTATGTTTTGGCTGCTTGATGCATCTCGCAGCGCCCAGCAGCCAGGAACCCAGCACAGCTGTTTAAGATGTATTTTGCGCTGCTTTGCACCATCAGAACAGCAGAAAGCATTCTGAGTGTGCCAGCAGATCTTTTTGTACTTCTGTTCTTCAGCACTGGATAGAGCTTAAAGGAAAAGACCCCCACCCTCCTAAGGGGAGAGGGGCAGTTGGGGCGGGGGCAGCTGCAGGGCACGCAGACAGTCCTGCGCTTCCCAGCTACAGCAGGAAACATTCAATAGCCCAAAGTTCTGGCAAGTTAAGCATCCAGACTCACGGATGGGCTTATGCCAGCTGTGCCAGAGTGTGTGCTGCTGCAATTACCCTGCTAATTGTTTTCAGGATGATGAGATTTCAGCTGCAGCTTTAGCATCGCTGGGTTACCAGCGTAGCTGATGAGGCTGAAACACCCACAGTTTGGCTTCAGCCGGGGCTTTATGAATGTGCTCTCCCGAAGGAAAGTGCTACATGATCCCCCCTGAATCACTCAGGGTCTGTCATTTAAAATTAAGGTTTCGAGGAGTGTCAATCTCCTGACCACCACTTGAAAATGGAAGCCCTCTTCAAACATTAATTCAAACTTCCCCACTGGGTCAATGTCATACGTGTGATTACATTGTAAAAGGCTGGCACGAGAGACAGCGTGAAGGAATGGACAGCTGTCAGCCTGCAGGCATTTTGATGTATTTTACAACAGAAAATCCTTTTTTGAATCAGAGGCCAGTCTTAGACTGTCTTTCAAGTCACACGTGGGATCTCAGAGGGAACACGCTATAACAGAGCAGAGGCGCTTGGCAAAGTTCATTTCGCTCTGAAAGGCAAAGCGGGCTCTGTAACTAGCAGCGAGCACCAAGGTAAGGTTTCTGAGATGCCTAGGGAAGGCGTGCGGGTACTCATTACTCAAACACAGATCAGAAGCCAGCTCGGTATTTCCATCCACACGGCCTGTAATGGCATCTATAAAGGCACTTGGGAGGCACAGTGGCAATTAAAATGCATTAGACTTAAAAAGACGAAATGTATGCCACGGAAACAAATACATGATTAAAAAGCTAAGAAGAGAAAGCAGCAGTAGAGGAACCTAGCTCAATTAGCTCCTGGTTAAAAAAAAAAGAAAACACTACAGACCATAAAGATGTTGGGGTTAAATGAAAAATTGGGACCCCCTCAGAAGCATCGCAGGCTGTGCCGGTGAACACTGCCAGCTGCCGGAGACAGCAGCGGTAGCAAGAAGTGCCTCTGTGCAGGGCTTTGCCTGCTGCCCAGCAAAGCATGAGAAAGCTGGGGGCATTTGCCCAGGTAAAGGTGACTCAGCCTCCGCCTTTGCGAGCCTCAACAGCCAGAGCTGGCACGGCCCCTGCCCTCTGCATGCCGTGGGGAGCGGGCTGGGGGCTATGGGGCTGCTCACCTAGCAGGGGCTATGGGTCACCTGCACGTTTCCAGGGGCCAGATCCTGCACGGACTGACAGCAGCGGGCTCCTTCTGCTCTTTCCTCCTGCCTGTTTCTCTTTCTTCATTTTATGTCAGTGTCAGGAGGGTTGAAAAATGTAACTGGGTTTTATAAAGCCTGTTACAAGAGAGCTGCCTTCTGCCACACCTTCCCCAGTGATACTTGAGAAAGTCAGGAGCCATGTTAAATTGTCACGGGCAGCATTTATAGGCATTTCTGCTCAGCTGCCATAAACGTAATCAAACCTAGGCCTTCGGGGGATAAAACAGATTTCCCCAGGGTTCAAACGGGAGTTTTCCCTTCGTGCACACGTGGTGTTGCACAACAGACCAGGCTGCATTATCAGATGGTTTTTGGCCCCTGTACAGCTCTCAGTTTCTGCCCCAGAGAAGCTGTTTTTGACTTCCACTGCAAATAACTTTGGACTCATAAGGCAGGCTGGGAGAGGCCTCCACACAGGCAGTGCATTTTTTATATCACCTATCTATTCTCCAGCAAAAACCTACAAATATATGCCTGCTGCAGAAATACTGATACAAAGAGTTTTATTACTGCAACAGAACATACCCCAAACAAAAATCCCAGCCATCGAGCAAATAAATTAGTCAGTTTCACACAACAACCCCACCCCAAAGTTTCTCCTTAAAAGAACAGGTCTGCAGATAAAATTATGTGATTAAAACAAGATCTAAATGATGAAATCTTTAGACTTCAAGCAGAATGCTCAATACATGGTAGGAATAATGTTGCTCCTGCTGCCTTTGCTCCCCATAAGGCAGGGAGATGGGCTGGGACTGCAGCATCTTCAGTAGTCCCATGTAAAGGTACCAGAAAATGCAGAGGGACAGCATGATGCCGTGTCTGGCAGTGGGCGTGCCTGCTTGGTTATCCTCCTGTAGAGTGCCCAGATTAACCGAGCTAAAAGGTTTGAGTACATTCCTGAAGCGCTGTCGTGGCACAATTAAATAATACTGAAGTGCACGCCAGGCATTACAATTTCTATTTCTTTTTGTAATGATTTCTTTGTGACAGATAACTTGCCATACAATTGTCTTCTCTGTTGAATTTCTCTTGTGCTGTTTTTGCAGTATGAATGGGATGAAAACGAGCTCTTCTTGTTCAAGTCATCCATCGCCTATGCCATGAGAAAATACTTTGCAGAGGAGAAGAAACAGGAAGTTAACTTCCAGTGAGTGGCTTGCTTACTTGTGCTGGCTATGCCTATATTGCTTCTGGTTCGCTAGCGGCATGAATTGGTAGAATTAATTGTGCCTTCTCTCAAATGTCAGGTGATGGAAAACAATGTCAAACACCAGCTGGTTGGAAAAGGTGAGATGCCAGCTTGGTTACATGTTGTCTTTTCGCTCAGGAGCCTGAAGTTTAGGAGTAATGAACTGAAGCTAGATAACTTCAGTGGATGCAGAAGGCTCTGTCTCCCATGACTCGTCAGTGGTGGAAGCGAGCCTTGAGAATTTGTGCTCAACACGTATGTGGGAGTATCAGGGAAGATACACTGATTAGAAATACAAATTTATAACAATGTACATGTACGATACTGAATATCCAAGAGGCTTTGGGCCCAGGAAAGATAAACTTGTTTATTATAAAGCACTAGAATTCCATGCAGATTTGCTAATCTTGCCTAGGTTCACTTACAAACATAAAGGCTATAGTCTGAAATTGATTTTGGTAAGAAAGCAACCGTTTTTATTAGGTCTCTTGAAAGTTTTCAGATGCTATCTACGTAAGCTATTTGCTATTACGTTATAGAACATCAGTCATGCAACACCTAGGATCTATTCCTAGCAGAATAAAAGGAAGAAGGATTATTTTTTTTTTTTTCAACTCAGCACTTCACACATCACCTCATTCATGAGATCTGCCCCAAACACTCAAAAAGCCACAAAAGCACTCTGTTCTGCAGGTGATTATGTGCTTTGGAAAATTACCCCAAGGATTGTCTTAGGTATGGAGTAGACTCTCTCCATCTCAAGTTACTAATGAGCACATAGGAAAAAGAGATTCTGACAGGAAAATTGATTTCAATTCCCAGTTGAGGTCACTAGGAAGCATTCACTCAACATAAACTAACCCGCTGGCATTGCCTATCAAACACAACTGTTCACTTGCCAGAATTTAAAGTTCATGTTATCTCAACAATCAAAAATCCCTTTCTTTTCTGTTTCTGCTTCAGGATTGAAGACATTCTTGTGACAGAACAGACACAAAGAATCTCCTTCTACCTTACTGTCAGCATGCCAGGTAGTATCAGTGATATTGTGCCCAAAGCTGATGTGGAAAATGCCATCAGGTGAGACTTTGCTCTCTTGGGGTTAAAAACAACCAACCAGGTGAAAGGGTAGAAGGGAAAGCAGTGCTCAAGACAGCTGAGACAGAAGGGGTGATAAGAAAGTCAGTTCTGCAGTTAGCAGGGAAATAGTGGGATGAGAAATACTGCTTTGACAGAAAGAAAACAGTCCATCTATCTGATGGTGTTTTGGACATCAGCCAAAGTAAATGCTTCAGAGGGCTTGTAAAACTGCCATAACACAACTAATTGCATCATACCTTGCCAGGAAATATCATTGCTCAAACTTTAACGGGAAATACCTTGCATTCTGGAATACATGGCACAGTAACGCTGTGTGCATGCATGTGGGTTTTCTTCCTCTCTTTAGTGAAGATTCACTGCAAGAATTATCATATAGCAAGGTCTCCAGAGTTATGATGCGTTAGAAAGGCAGCCAGATGTATTTGATTATACAGAAAAGAAAAGGTCAGCGCAAGAGCTAGTTCCCACTTACATGTCAATGAAGAGCTCTTTTATAGCACAGTATGACACCACTGTAAGTCATTGCTGTAGAAATGATAAGTAAAACTGCAGCTCTGCAGATGGTCACGGATAATATACAGTGGGAAATGGAGAGGGCACAAATCTAGAAGCAGCATCAGCATGAGAAGGGGTTGAAAAAGCAGTAAGAGGAGATGGTGAACCAAGGGAGAAGAGTATGGCTATGAAAGTCACTGTATGGTTAGCACTCAATAGCAGAAACAGACATTCAGGGAAAAACAAGACACACAAAACACACCAGGGAAGGGTTTTTCAGTGGTGTGAAAAACACGAGAATCAAAACTATGGAAGACTGTAGTGGGGAAAGAGGTCAGAAGTCAAAGCTGTGGTTTTCTGTCACATATCCAAAAAACTTACGGATAGCCAAGAAACTTAGGGTAAAGAGAATGAGGGGCAAAATGCAAATAGAGAGAAAGATAAGAAGGCTGTTTGCCTCATTTTGATAATTGTTAAGACTGAGTTTAAGAGTTCATACAGTGTCTGAACATGTCAGTTAAGCTGCAACAGGTTAAGGGCCAAAGTTATTGTGGTTATCACTCACCACCCCAGGTCAGAAGTAATATGGGTTTAGCAGCACCTTCTCTGCAGCCTTTTCAGCTGAACAGTTCAGGGGAACCTTGGCACACTGGTGTTAAAAAAACCCCAACAAACCAATAGCTGAAAACTGTTTATTTCCTTCCAATAAATGTGTGAAACTCCTTGAATTTGCTCTTAATGGCAGGATGGCTCGAGGCCGAATCAATGAGGCTTTCAGACTGGATGATAACACACTGGAGTTTGTGGGCATACTTCCAACCCTGGCCACACCTTATGAACCGCCAGTCACCATCTGGTTAATAATATTTGGAGTGGTCATTAGTTTGGTTGTCATTGGAGTTATTGTCTTGATCATCACTGGGCAGAGAGATCGCAAAAAGTGAGTAGTATTTTTGATACTATGATCATGAGCGTTGGGAGACGATGACTGAACCGTCAGGGTGCTTACACATGGGCTGCCAAATCTAACTGAAGCACGTTAAGGAATTAAAGTTTATTATACCTCTCTCATCAACAGTGGTGGCTAAAGGCTCAGCTCCCGGCCTTTCAGCACACGGCAGCTTTGGCACCTCAGTGCAATGGCCCCACCATCAGCAGCTGATCCAAGGCAGCTGGGTGCTGTGGCTGCAGGGAGCCACGGTGTGGCCAGGCTTCTGCCAACCCCACTGCAAGGTGGATGGAGTGGCCTGCTGGGATCACAGTGTCTTCTCCAGCATTCATCACCAGCTGCACACATTCATCTCCACATTCATCACCATCTGCAGTTTTCAATACTCTTGTTGGGGGCTGTCCAGTAATGCAATTTTCCTTAAACATTATTGCATTAACAGCAATATGCTGGGTTGCTTTTCTATGTCTCTCCATTAATGGTGTTTCTAAGAACATCATAGGTTTGCTACAGTTCCTCTTAAAACCAACACAATTTCTTTTATATAAATATTCCCAGTTAAACACGGTATTATTTACAGTAGGGGATTCTGGGGATCCAGAAAGACTTGAACGGAACAGGGACTTCTAATATAAAATTAATTTTCATTACAGGAGAGCAAGAGACAGTAGGAGTGAAGCAGGATCAAACTGTGAAGAGGTGAACCCTTATGGTGAAGAGGGAAAAAGCAACATGGGTTTTGAGTCATCTGAAGAGACACAAACATCGTTCTAGAAGACATGGGTACACTAAAGGTTTCTGTTTTTTTTTTAATTTCACCTTTAACAATAGTGCCTAGTGAGGACCAAAACACGTCATCAAACATAATGTCTTCTGGTTGACCATTAATCTATTGCTTCATAGACAACAGCAACTACATCTGCTGTTCATGTGGTAACTAGAAAACATGCACAAACTGAAGATATATGTGTCCTGTGGCTTTTCTATGGATTATGTGCATAATATTACACGATTAGTGCTACTTTTCATAAGCGTGCTGCATCAAACTTCTCTTTGTTTCTTCTGTAATGAGATACAAAAGCTTGGAAGTACACAGATCAAGACAGACATAAGAATAACATGTCTACTCCTAGTGCCCATGAGGAACATCTTGATCTTTCCAGATGGAGACGACACACGTGTATCTAATAGACACTGAGAAAATAAAAACAACACCTAACCACCCGACGAACCTTAGTGATGAAAAACTCAATTTGATATGAAATAACTGCAATGTTTGCAACTTCAGGAAGTCTGTATCAATGTAAAATGGATACCAGCTGAAGTCTAACAAGCATTGGAACTTTGTTAGAAAGGTGTAACATAAGTTATTTTTCTAACTGTTTGTTTGATAAGTATTGTAAAGACCAAATAATTCATGTTCCCTCAAAGAACCCCAAACATTAAAAGATCTCTAAGTTGTGCTGGCATCTAAAAGTGGAATAAAGTTCCTGAAGACTAAATGATCAAAGTTTTTTTTTTAGCACTGTAGCCAGTGCCTCCACTATCAGAAATCACAAATTTCTAATATTACAAATATCGCATACTACAAATACAACTTACACTGTTATGTACAGGGATCAGTAGCTTGAGGCTTGGGAGGTACAGGTTGCACCAGAAAAAGAAAAGCTGTTCACAAAGAGGGCAGTGCAGCACTGGAACAGGTTGCCTCTTCCATGCTCTGACTAAGGATCTCCACTTTTAGAAGTGTTTGGAACTCAGACAAAGGTACAGCTGCTTGAGTGCTGGGGACAGTTCCACCCTGAGTGAGAAGTTTGGCTAGATGACCTCCAGCGGTGCTTTCCAGACAGCATTTCCACAATTCTGTGTCTTGAATGTCCTGTCCCATACCTGCCACCATGCCAGTGCTGTTGTTCTGTACACACCAGAGTCACCAAAAGGCTCAAAGTGTCTGCTTGGTCCTGCGTTCTGGCAGAGCCAGTAGCAAACACCAGCCTGTATGAAAAACGTTCAGCAAATGCGTGGACACTTGAATTCATGGGCCTCCAAAATTAACAGAAACCGTAAAAAGCAGTCAAATATGTATCTGAAAACATACAGCTGGGCTCTGTGGGCTCACCAGACACTATACTAACGCTCCACACTTATTTCCTGTTTAAGAGACAAGACTCTTCAATGAGACGGTTCAAAATGTTAGGCAGATGATGCTGATTATCTGCAAACTGGGCAGGAATGTAGAGCTATGAAAACAATTTTTCAAACCGTAAAAAGCAGTCAAATATGTATCTGAAAACATACAGCTGGGCTCTGTGGGCTCACCAGACACTATACTAACGCTCCACACTTATTTCCTGTTTAAGAGACAAGACTCTTCAATGAGACGGTTCAAAATGTTAGGCAGATGATGCTGATTATCTGCAAACTGGGCAGGAATGTAGAGCTATGAAAAAAATTTTTAAGTTGCCTAACTACACCACATATCCTATTGCCATAACGTCCCCAAACCTTAGTGCTTTAGCTGAACTTTTAAGATAAATAATTCAACCCCATGCGGTCTTCCCACTTACCGTGCAGTAACAGAAAAAGCTGGAAACAATCAAATAATGCAATTAGTCATGCCAGCCATCTTCAGATCTGTTAAGATTAACATTTTCATTAAGGCAAGGATTTAATTTCAAAGCAATTAATTTTAAAAGCTGTACTATGAATCAAAAAATACCATTCAGAGTTGTCAACATATGAAGCCACTAAAAAATATAGCAGGATGTTGGAAGAACAGAACTAAAAAGATGAGAGTTGTATTAAAAACATCAACCGCATGCATTAGCCCCAGCAATACCTCACATCCCCTGTGCTGGGGGTTGGCTCACCCTCCTCTCATAGTTTGCCTGTGTCAGCACTCCCGGCGGATGCACAGGCAACATCATACCATGCCCTACCTCTCCCTCCTGCATGGCCTCCCGTGTCCCCCCAGGCCCATGTAGGGCCCTGCTGTCATTTCCATGATCCCAAATGCTCCTTTCCCTGGGACACGCGCGCAGCTTCCCAGGCAGATGGGGATGCACCCTGGTAGCCACCTTCCAGCGCCGGGGCCAGCGCTGGAGCTTCTGGCTGCCCGGACACCTCTGTTTCTTTCTCCCCACACGCCTGCACCCTGCAGTTCCTCCTCCTTGGGTGCAGGTGGGCTTGGACTGGAGCTTGGGGGGGGTTGTCCCTGCTAGAGCTGGGCCAGCTCCACCAGCCAAAGGGCAAGCAGGTGGCACTGGGTCTCTTAGGGGCATCACACACAGAGCTAGCTCAAGTACAAGGAGAGAGGAGAGGATTTTTTTCAGACATTATTTTATTTTAAACCCCCTTTATTTTATACATATTAGATCAGCATTTTACAAATGTCAGTGTCTAAAGTTCTTCAAATTTTTTCTCTTCAGATTTTACAGAGATCAGCACATTTACTATTTACTATTTCAATTACTACGGAATTCTGCATAAAACTTTCTTTTTTGCTCTATTTTTACCTGTAGCAGGAAGCAATAACAGTTCAGTAAACACCTCATATCTTTCTAAGTTGCAAATATCTGGGATATGTATCTCAGAATAAATGCCAAGTCAAACGCACACCCTGAAGGCCGAAACTAAAGTCAATAGTGCTGGTAAGCAAACCAATATATTTTACCAGTAGTCGTTTCTAAGTAATTGAAAGCAAGACTATAACTATTTATGTTGCTGTCACTTGCAGCAGTCCTATATTTGACTTCAGGCGTCAGCTTCAAGTGATTCTTTGTAATAGAAAAAAAAAATTCAGATGAGTTATGATAATCAGAAAACCTAACAAGCATATATTTTTCTGTTTACGTTTCCAGCAAAGGCCAAGTAATGACAGCTTGGGAGCACTGAAGGAGTGTACACAACTGGTGTGCATATCTCAGTGTCTTGAGAAGTCCTTTGAGACAATGCTAACAAAATTAATTACGTTCACCCACAGCGTCCTTCCAAATTCTGTCACCCACACAGTGTCACAAAATCTTTCTCCATACGCTTCTCGGCCAACTCCCTGGTTAAATGAGAACACTAATATACAGAATAATAGGGCTGACTAATGTCATGCAGATTTCAGATTTAGCTCTCGTACAGAAGACAGGTGATAGGAAACCAGTATGTACCGTCATCTGTTTCTGAATCTTCTGAGCTCTTCAAGCTCTGTTGTCTTCTCTCAAGGCCTCAAAAAATGGTAAGAGCTGGTAAAAGGCAGGACGCTTTTCTGGTAGCTAAATGAAGCAAAGATGATGGGTATGGTTATTTAATTTTGAAATCACTCAGGAATGGTAATTTGCATTAGTTTTTCTTGATTTTTAGAGTGCAGAAATTCGTAGACACAGTGATGATTATGAAGTAAAGAAAATAAAAGTTACTTTTTGTATCTGTCATGTTATGGTAGCTTCATCTTCTTTCTTTGTGCTAACATGTCCTCAAATATAAGTTATTTTTCTCATTTTTCTGACAACTAAAATAAAAACAAACAAACAAACACCAACAAAAAAACCCAACACCCCCCCCCAAAAAAAACCCCAAAAAACCCACAAAATGACCCAAAATATAACTTTCACCAATAATGTGCCAAAGAGTTCTTTGTTGCTGTAAGAAACAGACCATGGTCCACAGACAGCTGAGTAAAATTTAGATGAAGAGGAACAATAAATCAGGATAATTCCTGACACACATCTCAAAACAAAATGAGCATGACCAGCATTTAACTTACAACTCCCAGAAGACTTACAGATGGGGTAACATGTGCTTCTCATTCCGAGAGTGGGGTTATTTCACACAAATTTAGCTATCTAAAAAGGTAGAAGTCTCAGGTACATTTGCTGTTTAAGATCTCTGAATAGGAAAACATATATTTTATTCTGTGGTGGATAAGATAGAAAGCACAAATGACCATGGGGAGGTACCAGTAATGGTCTTGTAATCATGGAAGAAACTTAAATAATTAGCTTAGCTTAGGAGCCAAATTTTAAACCATTAAAATTAGTTGAGATGAATCACATTCTATACGTGATGTTGATGTTGATGTATGTTTTACTGTTATGTGCTTGAATACGTTGTTCTGAAAAGGAGGGAGCCAATCTTCCTGCATGCCCTCTTTCCTGTGTTAACAATGTTCTGAACTATACTGCTGGATGGAATGTTCTACATAGAAGCAATGGCTTCTGTAAGTGGTATTTTCCACTATGAACTAGGAAGTTCAGCTATCAACAGTGACTTCTAGTGATTCATATTATTTTGTTTTCTCCAGTTCCTACATATATACATACCTCATGCCAGCAGTTGTACATTATCTGATAAATGATGTCTGAAACCAGTTGCGGTCTGTACAGTCTGTATCCTTGGGAAACTTTCTCAATCACCTGCATGTTATTATAAAGCTCATAGGGCTGCTTTCCCAAAGTGAATACCTCCCACATGAAGATACCTGCAAAAATAATCACGGCAATGGAAGGCAAGAAATGGAAGTCAAGAAATGCAAGAAGACCCCATTTTCCCAGAAGACACACATGCAACATCCAACCAATCAGGCTCTTTACAGAGAATATTGTGCAAAGAAATGTATGAGGCAACTGACAAGTGTGATGATGTACCCAAATGTAAAACAACTTCTACTGCAGAAGTAGGTAAAGTTAGATGATAAAGTCAGTCCTAAATTATATTTAATGTGGACAATGATGGAGAAAACTCAAGGCATATATCCATGGGCTGAATTTTTGCAAAATACATAC